GTTTTAATACACAATAAAATTTGAATAAAAATGAAATAACAAATTAAATGAAGAACATTTAAATTGATGCAATATGAAAAAGACATTAATTCAATGTCAATGAAGAATAGAAACTCACATATCATAATAATGAAAAAACAGGAAAAATGTGATGAAATGATGAATAATAACTCTTAGAATACAGAGATGTAATTAATCTCTAGTGAGCAAAGAAGAATATATAAAAATTTTATTAAGTCTTTGTTATTATTTTTTTTAATATTTATAAAAATTGTTAAATATTATTTCTCTAAATAAAAAAACACAATTTAAATAACAAAAAGGAGTTAAATAACGAAAATAACAGCACCATAACCAACAACCCAACCACTGTTCATTCGTTTTGTTATTGTTTCACTGTCAGTTAAATCAAGTGTGATTGCTTTAACACAACCAATAGCTTGAGCATACATCATTGTTGGTATAACAGCTGTAATTCCACAATAAATTTGATTTTCATAACTCCATCTTGTTAATAAACCTTTTATATCCATTTTTTCTGTAAGTTGTATTGTTTCTTTATCTGTTTTTTCAACTAGACTATGACTTTCATCATGGAGCATATCACTGCTAGCAATAACATACATCTTTTTCTTAGAACAAACAGCTTGAAGACCCTGAGAAACTTGTTCTAATACTTCAGACTTATGAGTACCAATCAGTACCATCACAACTTTAACTCCAGGTAATGCTCGTTGAACAAATGGTAGTTCATTTTCAGCAGAATGTTCACCATTATGTGGTTTGTAGAAACATTTTAAATAATTTCTTCCTTCACAAAACATTGTAATTGCTTCATTATCAATTTCTGTTGTGGCGATTGGAGTTGAAATTGCTTTTCCATCCATTACAGCAGCACAATCAAACCGAGAAGAATGACTAAACCCAAGAATAAAAACAACGTCTGGTTTTCCATTCATTTCAGAATCTCTTTTTAAAGCAGCAAAATCATACCCAGCAGTTTGGCCACTATACCTAAACCCCGCATGAGGTGAAATACATCCTAATATTTTACCTTGAATTGATGGAAGTTTATTGAAGGCATTGTTAATATAATGATCAACTTCATTTGCAAGTTCATTCCCATTAGCACTAAACCATCTTCCAGCACCAATAGCTTTTCTTATAGTCGTAGAATCCATTTTTATGATTATGAGTTGATGACTTTTTGACACGTTGAGAATAATCTTTATGAAATAATTTTAAAAACCATAAAAAATGAATTAATCTTCAGACATTCTATTAGATCGTCTTTCCCCTCGTTCTCTGAGACTTGTTGTAACTTTAGACTGATGAAGGGGTTGACTTTGTTGTCGAGGAGAAGTATTAATATTATAAACAAAAATCTTTCCATCTTCACCAGTTGAATATACAATATCATTAATAACTTCATAGTCTCTAACTAATGCAGAATGGCAATGTGCCTCAGACCTTGGTAGAAAACTATTTGTTCCTAACCAAGTTGAAAGCATTAATTTACCTGAATCAAACGAAGTTGCAGTTCCTATTTTATTATCAATCATACAACCTTTAAGAATAGTTGAAGGAGTTTCATCTCCAATTGATGTAATTGTTCTTAAATCATCTATTTGACACTCTATTGTTGATGTTTCTCCATTGTAAATAACAAAAGCATTATCATCCGAAACAATAGTAAGATACTTATTTGAAGCAACACCTAACAACCCAAGAGGTTTGCCAACATTTATTGTTTCAAGAATTCCATTATTTCCTTGAGTATAATCAATTACACAACATAAATTATCTTGAGAAGCAGACACTAATAATCCTCTCCAAAATGCTACATCAACAATGTCATCACAATGAGCTTCATTTATAGTACAAACAACTTTCATATTTCTAATATCAAAACATTTAATATATGTTTTAAAAGAAACAGCAAGTCCAATGTCAAAAGATGCTATTGCTGTTTCTGTGAGATGATTTGATGGTTTTGTTAATATATTTGGTTGATCCTGACGACAGTCAATACTACAAATGACACCAGTATCACTTATTGTAAAAGCGACATTTGGGTCATTTGAATTACAACTTCTTTGACCATTTACTTGATAATTTTTTTCTTGTTTTAGATCTGATGAATACCAACTCAAACTTCCATCACTCCATAAAACATTTACCCCAATTGGACTACAGTTAATTTCCAATCCATACCCATCATGTTGAGAAGACAAATAATTCATTAAAATAACAAATACAGTTGAAAAAGGGTTTTAAAAATTGAATAAAAATGTTTTTCAAAACAATAAATTAAAAGAAGAAAAATCCCAAAAGTAATGAAGATAATGGAATAAACACATTATCATAATTTGGATATGAATAAAATTCAACTATTGCACCAACTAATCCTGAGATAATAGATTGGATGAAATAGATTTGTCCAAAAATAATATAGCACATTACCATTGCTCCAACTGCTCCACAAACCATTACAGCAATTGCACCTTCAAGTGTTTTAGTTTTTCCCCATGGATTTTTGAGTTGAGTTTTTCCTATCATTTTACCAATGATTTCAGCCATTCCATCACCAGTTAACATAATCATCATTCCAATAATAGATGCTGGATAATTTCTCCAATATAAAAGAGATAAAAATGACATAATACAACAATAGTTCAATGGTCCATATAACATTTCTTTATAATCACCATTTCTACATACTGTTGCAATTAAGAAATCAGCAATTGGTCCTTTAATCCATCCCATTCCAAATATTAAAAAGACAAATAAATAAAGAAGACAACACATAGATCCCCAAATTCTAGCTGTTGGTTCTTCTGAATAGCATCCCCACATCACTATTTCACATACTCCAAGAGAAATATGAACTATTTTTCTTGAAGTATAACTAGTAATAATATTTGTCTTACTTAAAGCAGTAGCAATCATAAGACAAACATTAACTAATACAAATGAAATGAAAAAGCAAGTGATGTCTAACATTTCAAAATGTTTTGTGATTAACTCATAATAAGATCAGTTTAAATATTTTGCATTTTATTAAAACCTTCAAGTTTGTTATATTTATATTATTTCTATTTAGTTTTGTGTATTTCTAGAAATCCATTTTTATAAAATGAAAACCATTATTGTAATAAAGATTCAATTTTTTTATTTTTTATTTCTTTTTCTTTGATGTTTTTTTTTTAGTTACTTTCTTTTTCTTTTCATATTTTGTGTAATTATCAGCGTAATAAACAATATGCTCTTCTGGAATTTTCCAGTTCATTAAATTATACCAATACTCTCCCAGATATAAAAAAAGACTGTCATTGTCAATCTTTTTAGTTAAAAATTTATCCATTCCTTTTGTTTGGTGTGATTCATTTTTGTTAATACTTTTAAGGTAATTATCAATTATATTCTTTTTTTCTATGAGAGTTTCTTTAATGAGAGGAAAGTTAATTTTATATTGATTACTTTCTTCTTTAACAAATTGAAGTAATATGTCTTTAAGTAATTCAGTAATTCCATTAGAAGGTAATAATGAATCTATTTATTATTATTTTGTATTATTTATTATTATTTTGTATTATTAACTTTACAAAATTGAACAAACACATCTCTTCAAATGATGAAAATTTCGTAGTTTCATTAACATTATGTAAACAAAGGAAATGAAGGACTATATAAAAAGGGTCGAGTATAGAACTAATTTTAAAAGAACTATCAGCGAGAAGTGTTGGTTTAATATACCAACAACCATATTCCAAATGAACTTGTTTTATTTCATAGAATAATTGTTTTGATGTTTCAAATAAAATGATTTTAGAATACCCCAACTTACACCAATTTTCAATCTCAAAAACTATAACTTGATTCATAGGTTCTCGTGAAATGATCACTTGTTTTTTTTTTATTACATCATTTGGTTGAGGTGTTTCAATCTCAATATCTTCAAAATTATCTAACACCTCTTCATATTCACTGTTGGTTGAATTGCTTTGGCTCTGTTCAGCCATTATTTATAAGTAAATTCAGTTACTTATAAAGTGGGATAACCCTGAGAAAAAATGAAATTAACACTTTAATTGAGCTCAACTAAAATAATTGAGAAATTATAATAAAATGGTTTTAATTGGTTTAAGTTAAATATAACATAAAGGGAAATAGTCAATATTAACTTATAACATTTTTTCATACCTTTTTTAAAAAAAAAAAGAAAAATGAAAAACTTCAATAAAAAAAAAACAAAAAAAAACAATGAACTTAAATAGTAAAAGAGATGGAATTTACACATAATGCATATCAACCTATTTCACTTGGAACAACAATTATTGGAGTTGTTTATAATGGAGGTGTTCTTCTTGGAGCTGATGGTAGAACTTCAATGGGAAGTATAGTTGTTAATAGATGTAAAAATAAAATTCGTATGGTTTCTGATTCTATTGGAATGTGTACGGCTGGTACTGCAGCTCATAGTGAAACGATTGGAGATTATGTTAAACATGCATTAAGAATGTATACTGCACAAACTGGAGAGGAACCAACTGTACTTGCTGCTGCTACATCAATAAAAAATATCATTTATGGAAATAAATCATTCCTTTCATCATCAGTTGTATGTGGTGGATATGATCCAGTGAATGGAGCAACATTATATCGTATACTTCAAAGTGGAGCTATGAAACAAGATGATATATGTGTTGGAGGAAGTGGTTCAACATATATTTGGGGATATTGTGATGCTCATTTTAAAAAGAATATGACTTTTGAAGAAGCTAAACAATTTATTGTTACAGCTGTTTCACTAGCAATTTATCGTGATGGTTCATCAGGAGGAATTATCCATACCGTAAATATAACAGCAGAGGGTGTTCAGTCTGAATTTATCACTGGAGATAAAGTCCCTGTGCCACAAAATTAAATTACTATTTTTTGAAACAAATAACATTTTTTATCAATTTTGTTTTTATAAATTAGAAAAATAAAAAAAAAAATAATTATAACTTTTAGTAAAAAGAGAAAAAAGTATCCAACTGATTAAAAGGTTCTTCTTTTAATAGAATGTCTTCAATTCAAATGGATACCTCAGATAATGAAATTCGTATTCTTTCAAAAGAAAGATTACAATCTATTCTTACAAAAGTTCAGGCACTTGATCATTATAAACATTATATAAATGAACTAATTAGTAATTTTGAAAAAAACAATGAAAATTTTGACGAGGTATATAAAGCTGTAGTTCCTCAATTACTTAAACTTAAATTAAAAACAAAGTCAGTGTTAAAAGCAATTGACTTTCTGATTGATGTTGCAGTTAAATCAGAAAATGAATTAACTGAATATATTCTTGATATTCATTCAGATCTTACTTATGCATCTGAGCCATTAATTCGTCAACGAAGTGTATATATTATTATGAGAATATTAAATTCAATGCCAGACAATTATACTCTCACAGAAGATATTTATAAAAAAATAAATAAATCTCTTGTTGAACGTTTACAAGACACTCAATCAAATGTTCGTACTTATGCGGTTCTTGCTCTTAAACGTTTCGAAACATCTCAATTAGTAAATTGTTTATTAGATCCAAGAGCACAAGTTGTTGTTGCAACTTTACAATCAATAGCAATTAATTCAGAAACAATTATTCCAATTATTCGATTAGTTGGAGATAGTAGATCTATTGTTCGTGAATATGCGTATCAAACAATTAAAAATATTCCAATAGAACATATTACACATACTTCACTTTGTTATATTTTTATTCATGCCTTAACTGAAGAAAGATCAACTGTTAAAAAACAATTTGAAGAATTAGTTAAATATTGGATTGAAACAATTGGATTTGAAGAATATTTTGAAAAGTATTTCCCATTGGATAAAATTCCTCAACTCCCACCACAAGAAGGAGAGTCTGGAACAGATATGGAAAGATATATTTTATTAAGTAAAAAAATTGTTGAAGAAATTATTAGAATTACTCAATCACCTGCAGGTGTTACACTTGATGTTTCACCAACATTAGTTATTCTTCGATGTTATGTATTAATATCTCATTGTGAAGGGGATTATCCAGACGGACAAGAAGTATTAAATTGTATTAATGGAAAGTCAGAATTAGAACAAATTGCATTAATGAAATTATATTCAAAATGTAATGGAGGAAAATGTAATATTTTAGAAGTTGTTAGAGGACATTCACAAGTTGTAGTTGAAGAAGCATTTAGGGTATTAATAAAGATGGAACCAAATGATCATTTTGGTATTATTGTTAATGAAATGCATAATATTACTGAAGACGACCAACCGTTATTTTTAAAAGGATATTATAAATCATGTATTGAAGTTAATTATATTCTTCCATCAGAATTTTTAGAATATCATTTAAGACAAACATTTAAAAATTTACAATCACCAAATGAAGAGAAAAGAATGTTTACAATGGAATTTGTTGGTCTTACAGTTCTTGTTAATAAAGAAAAAGCACAACAATTTATTCCTGTATTAATTGCTGGATTATCAAAAGATACAACACCAGTAAGATTAGTTGCATTAAAAGGATTAACTGATTATTATTTATTAAGTGGAATAAATGTTCCTGAAACATTAAGAGATATTTACAATGATGCATTATTAAGTTTGAGTGAAGATTTAGAGGCATTAATTATTGTCTTACAAGGAGTTATACGATTATATTTAAATGATAGATTACATATTTCAGAAGAATCAAGTGAATTATGTCTTGCAAAAACAATGATGTCATTATTTATTCGATCAATTCCAGAAACACAATTACGATCATTATTGTTTACATTTTTTTTATGTTATTCACAATCTCATTTTGAAGATTCTAAAAAGTTGTATGAATTATGTTTAGATGAAGCAGGACCAGAATTAGAAAAAATAACTGAAGTATTTATTCCAATGTTATCACAATATGATAAAGAAATAAATACAACAATTATGGAAATGTGCATGCATAGATTAATGAGTTGGATTAAAGCTGAAGATAATTATTCTGATGAAATGATTATTAATTTAACAAGTGTTTTCTATAAATTAGATTATACAAATAATACAACTGATATTAGAGATATCTCTATTCAACGACTTAAATCAATTCAATCAGAACGTAATAGTAATGAAGTTAATGTAGCAATTAAGTCTTTAATAGAGGCATTCGAAGAATTGAATAATTAAATTTAATTTAGTATTTTTTGATGAAAAAATGAAAATGAAGAATAAAACCAAAAACAAAAAAAAAATAAGGAAGAACTAAGAAATGCAATGTCTGATTTTGATTATATCCAAAAAAATACTCCTCCTGAACTTCCTGAAAAATTTAAAACTGCACTTCTTCCAGAAAATATTAAAAAGAATAGATATAGTGATGTTTTAGCAAATGATGATACAAGAGTAAAATTAAATAATAATGGTTATATAAATGCTAATTATATTTTTCAAGGAAGAATGATTGCGTCTCAAGCACCAACTATTGAAACCATCCCTGATTTCCTTCAAATGATTATTGAACAACAAGTACCAATTGTAGTAATGTTAACAAAATGTAAAGAAAAAACAAGAACCAAAGCTACACCTTATTGGGGATATAAGTCTGAAGGTGGTAAAAAAGTTTTTGGAAACTATACAGTAAATACAATTGATACCCTTTATGATGATGTTGAAGAAGATAAGTTTATGGAAGATATTCAAATTAGATATCTTCAAATTATATATGAAGATGGCGTTTATTCATTTATTCAAATTCATTATATGGGATGGCCTGACTTTGGAGTTCCATTAAATCCAAAAGATGCATTAGATCTTGTTTATATTCAATATATTATTGGTACTACATCAAAATTTTCTAATAGAAATCTTGTTTGTGTTCATTGTTCTGCAGGTGTTGGTAGAACTGGAGTATATTGTCTTTTATCACGTATTGTAGAAATGGTTACTTATGAAATTCTTGAAAAAACAGAAACTTATAGTAAACAGAGATGTTTGTTCTTTTGTTTTAATATTTTAAGAATCAATTAATTAATTGTTTAATATTTATATTGTAGCAACAAGTTCTTCTTCAAAAGTAAGAGAAGTAGAAGATCGTATTGAAGAAATTTTATTAAGTCATCCTGTGATTTCTTATGAAGACTGTGAAGTGATTCTTCCAGAACTTGTTTTGTCTATTAGAAATGAAAGAAGTAAAATGGTTCAAACAAAAGAACAATATGACTTTATATGTGAAACTGTTAATTGTTTTTATGAAGATGCTTTAGACTCTATTAATCAATACTATGAAGTTATTGATGCGCTTACACCACTTCTTCAAGAAAAACATTCCGAAATAGTTCAAGACTTTATTAAACGTAACGAGTTTTAATTTTCTTTCTTTTTTCATTCTTTTAGTTAAATAACTATTTTTTTTTAATTAATGTAAAAAATAAAACAAAAAATTTCTATTACTTTTTTAATTTCCATTGAAGAGCAATTACTTTTGATACATCATATGTTTGTGGATAATGACTTCCAACAAAAATGTCTTCAGTAATCCCATTTGGAATATTATAATATTGAACAAAACTATTAGATATATAACATCCATCAACTTGTTTTATACCAAAACATGCATTAGTTGCAATAACCCATTTTTTTGAAGTATTTGGGGAAATATTTAATCCATCTGCTGTTTTATCTTTTAGAAAAAATTGTATTGGACTTGTTTTTTTAGGATTTGAAAGAGTAAATACAAAGAAATTTGGATCATTTTTAACCCATTCTTCAGTTTTTTTTGGTATTGGTAGTTTTAATGAATTAAAACTGCCAAATACATATCCATGTTTTGTAATAATAATAACCATAATATTTTCTTTTCCACAAATACATCCATTTAATGCAACACTTGAAAATCCATCTACCTTACTGTCATATATAAGTTCATATTCATTTAATTTTGTCCAATTAACAAATAATTCTTTATTTAATTCTATTAATGTTGCTATATTAATAATATTTTTTTGTTTTTTCTTTTTTTTTTCACTCACAGGATTTATTTTACGTTTAACACCACCACCACCTTCTGTAATAATTTCATTTTGTAAAGGTATGATCTGTTTTTCATTTGACATTTGATTTGGTAAAGGAGGAACACAAATATTTATTGTTCCATAATTTAATATTGACAATCCTGATATTTTATGAAGAAATGAATCAACAGAAGGGACTTGGTTTTTTTCACTCATTAATGATGTTCTGAGATCTTTTTTCTATCAACAAATATCTTTTATATTGAAAAAGAACCTGAAAAAATTATTATTAAATTTTAAAAAGATAAAAAATAATGTTTAAAGCTTGAAAGTTTTAATTAAAGAGATGGACTTATTTTAACCCAATCAAAATTATAAACACGAGGAGTTCCCCAATGTTGAATTGATGGGAATAATTCCCAATTAAATGGTGGAAGTCCTCCTTCATGTGTTGGTCCACAATATGCTAATGTTTTATATTTTAATGAAGCCGCACCTATTTTACAATCTACAGCTCCAAATGGGAATTTATAATCACTATCCATTTCAAGGTCATATCGAGCAGCAATTTGATTTCGTGGTTTATTTGAAATTGGATCAGTTTTATAATGGTTCATTGTCATTAATTTTTTAACGTCATCAATTGAGTGAATTCTTGCACCATCTCTTGTAAATATTAAAGCACGAGAAGACCCAGTGTAATTATATTCTTTTTTTCCTAATTCCATTTTCTTTAAATACCCACTTGATACAAAAATTTCTTTAATATATGGAATATTATATGATGCCCAATATGTTTGATTAATTAATATTGGAGTTACATCTTTTACAATATATTTTCCTGGCATTTGTTCTCCAATGTATAATATATTTTTCTTTCTTTGTGCATTTTTTTCAATAGAATTTAAATTAATAATCATCCATTGGTTATTATATGTTCCACTATTAAATTGACCAATTGTCTTTGTAATTTCTTTAGGAGTTTGACCAAAATACATTGAAACAAGAATTCTTTGCCATGAAAGAAGAGAATTTGGTGTAATTAATTTATTAAGTTTTTTAAAAAAAAAGGAATTAGTAGTTTCCATTACACCAAATCTTTTTTGTTGAGCATTACTAAGTAAATAAAAATCATCTTTTGAATGAATTAATCCAGGACTACTTGCAAAACTCATTGGTTGAGCATTTTTAGTCCATGGAAAAAAGTAATGTTTATAAATTCTTAACATTGCATAATATGGTCTCCATGTATTATGTGAAAAAATAATGTCATGACTTTTATTATTATATTTAACATATGCACTACATTCATGGTAAAGTTCATCTGGATTTTTATCTTGTAAATCTAACATTGAATTTTCACTATGAATCTTTTCAAATTTATCAGTAATAGTTGGTAAATCTCCAACAGAATTTAAAAGATATAACTCTTCTAATGTCATTGGTTCTTTACCAAATTTTTTATATCCATTCCATAATCCTCTAAATTGTTCAAAAATTAATTTTTGATTCTTCCAATATATATCATCATTTTCATTATTTTTAATATGTTTTCTCCAAAAATTAAATTGAAGTGACATAAATCTTCTAATGTTTTTGTTTATTCCATGTTTATATTCATTTTTTTTATAATTTTGCCAATATATCCATATCCAGTGATGAGTTAAATATGATTCAATATATCCTGCTGCAAATGCTTGTTCTTCTGGTGAATATTTTTTATTTGTATGAATATTTAATATTCCCCATCCGGTACTATTAACTGTATTTTCATAACTTCCCCATGCAACACTTCCACGAATTGCTCCTTTAGTTATTTCAATAGAATCACCTTTTTTAATAATACTGAATTTTTGAGCAAAAGTACAAAAGAAAAGAAAAGATAGAACAACAAATGTAAATGAGAAACTCATAAAAATATAATAAGAAGTTCTTCTTTTTTTTTTAAAAATAAGAAGTATTAAATATTGTAAATGATAAAAATAACTTATAATTGTGCAGTTGAAAAATGTAACGGTTTACATTTCACTCTTTTTCCATATCCCTTTTCTCCAACAAATATTCCATCTTTAAATACTAATTTACCTCTACAATATGTTGCAACAGGATAACCATGCATCTCAAATCCTTCCCAAATAGTATGATCTACATTAGAATGCATATTATCAACACTAATTGTAAATTTTTTATTTGGATCATAAAGAACAATATCAGCATCAGAACCTATTCCTAAACATCCTTTTTCTGGATAAATACCAAATAATTTAGCTGGATTTGAACAACATACTTCAACTACTTTATTAAAAGTTAAAGTTCCTTTATTTGCTTCAGAAAGCATATAAGGAAACATATTTTCAATACCACTACATCCATTTGGAATCTTTGTAAAATCATCTTTTCCCCATTCTTTTTCTGATAATTGAAATGGGCAATGGTCTGTTGCAACTGTTTGAATAATTCCTGTTTTTAATGCACCCCAAAGTGCTTGTCTACTTTCTTCTGTTTTCATTGGTGGAGAACAAACATATTTTATAGCATCTTCTTTTTTAAAAACATCATTAGTTAGTTCAAGGTATTGAATGCAAGTTTCTGCAAATATAGGATATCCTTCTTTTCTTGATTTCTCTATGATACTAATAGCACCTTTTGATGATAAGTGTACAATATAGAGAGGTGCACCAACTGACTTTGCTAATGTAATTGCTCTTTGAACAGCTTCTTCTTCTACAAATTCAGGACGAGATTCATAATGATACCATGCAGATAATTTTCCTTCTGTTTTAAAGTCTTCAGTTAAAGTATCAATTACTCCTTTATTTTCTGCATGAACTCCTAATAATCCTCCTGATGATTTTGTCTTTTTAAGTATTTTATAAAAAAGACCGTCTGTTACAAAGAAATCGTAAACCATAAATACTTTAAAACTAGAGACTCCTTCAGCTATTACTGAATCAATAGAATCTAAAAGTTCATTTGTACTAACATCTTTAATTGCAATATGAAATGAGTAATCAATACATGACTGATGCGATGCAAGATTATCTCTTCTTTTTAAAGTTTCTATTAAATTCTCCCCATTTTCTTGAAGTGCAAAGTCAAATACTGTTGTTGTTCCACCACATGCAGCAGCCATAGTTCCATACTCATAGTCATCAGCAGATATTGTTCCACCAAAAGGCATTGCAAGATGAGTATGTCCATCAACTGCACCTGGTAAAATTAATAATCCAGATGCATCAACAACTTCTACATCTTCTGGTAGAGTCAATTCACTACCAATTGCAGCAATAACACCATCTTTTACATAGATATCAGACTTAAAACTTGAGTCAGTAGTAATTATAGTACCGTTTTTGATGATGAAAGTCATTTTTTATTCTATTTACAGTTCAACATATCTATTTATATTTATAGCCAAAAACTATAAATTGAGTATTATTTAGTTTTGAACAATTCTTAATATTTATCTTCAAAGAATATTATAGAAAACCATGAAACTTCATACAAAAAAAAAACAAAGTTTATGATCCATTTTTATATAATTCACTTTATCTATTTTAAAATCTTTTTGTTCTAAGAATAACTTGATGAAGGTCTTCAACATTAAATCCAAAGAAATAAAAGCACATTTGTTCTGTCAATTCATTGAGAAAAGATGAAACAATTTGTTTTAGTACTCAAAATTCATAAAATTTTCTTAATGAACTTCTAAATGAAGTAAAGAGAGTATTAAATTTATAAAAAGTGAGTGAAAGGGAGTTGTATTTTTTTATAAAGAAAATGTGCAATGTTTTGAACTACAAATATTCCTAATTTTGAAAAAACCTTTCCATTCCTTCAAATCCTTTCTCATAATAAGAAAAAATAATTTGTGTCATAATAGTAATACCATCTCTCAATTGTTGAATTGTTGTCTTATACAATTTATCAGGATTTATTATTTAGTATTTTTTATATTCATACAAAACATTTGAATCTCCATATCATTCATTGTTGAGGAGTGTATTAAATTGTGAATAACTCATATTATAATAAATTTTTTATAATTGACTGACACAATGTTAGGCTTTAAATTAAATAACCAATTGAATCACAGATTATACTGAGTGATCCAATCTCTCTTTCATTTCCTGAATCTAATGATAGTTTGTGTGTTGACATGTTATCAATATATAACATATTATCAGGTATTGAATGGTGGTGTATACTTAAGAATTGATGATATAAATCCATATACTTAAATATTTTTTTCCTTCAACTAACAGATAAAACCAGACCAATCTACTGAATATAGTCCAATTTCAAATCTGTTTTTCTTAATACTTCAACAGAAAATGCATAATCTCTTATTCTTGTTTTGTCTGATCCAACAGTAAATGCCATTCTCATGTCTCTTCTCATTTTATAATCCAATTCTTTGATAATAAAAACTAGTCTTTAATTCTTGACCAGATTTTCAAATCGTTTGTTGAGTTAAATTAATTTCAATTAATAAACAACAACTTTCTTCATTATTACCATGTTTACATATTATTTTATTTATTAAGACATTTTGGTGTTTTATATACTTATCTTCCTGAATAATATCCCAACCATTTATCTTAGATAATATATTAACGCTAAAACATTCTTTATTTTCAGTACTATATTTAGACATAATTTTTTTGTTATTACCATTGTTAATTATTTCTATTTGATTATTCTTTCTTTGATATTCCTGATGATTGCCTCTATTTATTTGAATTGGTTGTTTCTTTAATTGGTGTTGAAAGATTAGTTGAAATGTATCTAATGAAGGATCTAGATTAATTTATGAGAAAAGGTTAGTTATTTGGTTATTAATAGATAATAGATTCTAATTCGAGTCTGTTCGTTGAAGAATAATCCAGTTTAATGAAATCTGGTGGGTGATTCTTTTTGAAGTTGGTATGTTCGTTTGTTTTGAATTTGATTCTTCAATGATCTTTGGGGTTGTGGTTAATAAATATTGAAATCCATGTATTATTTCAAGAGAGAGACATTTAAAAGATAATGTTTTGTTTTCCAAAATCTTAATTTCTTCTTCTACTTCATACGAGTTATTGTCAACATCAATTATTTTCCATTAACAGATAAATAAATTAAATTTTCACTTGTTCATTAAAACAAAATTTGAATGATTATTTAAAATTCTTTGAACTATTTTTGTTTTTTATAAACAATTTTTATTGTTTGTTTTAAATAACATAAATTATTCTAAACGATATAATTATCATCAAATTCTCTATATTCTTCAGTTTCTATTTCACCACTATTCCTTGAACATAACACCTTAAATTTTAATACATAACACAATAATGCAGTAACACACCCCAGTAAAGAACCTGCTATAATATCGTCATATCCATGGAAATAATCTCTTACTCTAGAAATAGCAACTATACATCCAAATAACAAAGGAAGACAACATCCAATTAATTTCAAGATTGAACCTTCTCCATTAAATATTTTGTATTCTCCACATAATAATAATGTGAGAAACATCATTCCATTGAATGTTGTAGAAGAATGTCCACTTGGGAATGACTGATATACTTTTGATGCTTTTTTATTATCAATAAGTGAATAGTAATTAGGACGAGGTTTTCCTGCAAACAGTTTGAAAGAATTTGTCAAGAATAAACATAATGAGACTGCAAAGAAGAAAGAAGTTATTGATGTTATGAAATACTTTGCTGAATTTCTTTTCTGTGCAAAATAGAAAATAACAATCACTGGAACACACCATGAAAAAGTACAACAAAACAAAAAGGGAAATGTTTCAGAAACTAATGGATAAGTTGCATTAAAATTCTTTCTCTCAAGAGGAATATCCATCTGATATGATGGTAAAGATTTTAGAAGAATTCCTCCAACAAAAAGAATAATACTAATACTAAATTCAATTACTAGTGTTTTAGTGCATTGTTGTTTAATCGATCTAAAATTTAACATTTGATTAGTAGTTTAACCTATTACTAACAAAAAAAGAAAACTATTAAATAATTAGTAAATGAATTTCATTGAATCAATCAATAAAAGTGATCTTCAAACTAATTTACAATATCTATATCAAATACGCATTCAAATTCAATCAAAGAAGGCACAACTAACTCTTCAACGTACAAACTTAAGAATCAAATATGAACAAGAAATGTATGAGTTATTTGAAAAAAGAAAAGTTCTTATCAATTAGTTTTTTTTAATTTTTTTTTTTAATTTTTTTTCTTAGATTTAACTTCTTGAAACTTTTAATCTACAAAGAAATATTCTGTCTATAGACACAGAAAAAGAAGATTTATTAACTTTATAGAACATAAACACAACTCTTCTATCACCACAAGTTCAAAATAAATTCTTTTATTTATCACAAAGGAATAATAAAAGGAGAATAATTAGAACATTAGAACCAAAAGAGATTTAAATAATAGTCTAAAAAATATATTTATTTGAATAGTAGAAGTATTATTTTTAAACATTAATAAATGACTATTTTTTCTTTCATTTCATTTATTTTATTTTTATAGTCTATACAGTCAAAGATAAAACTTTTGTTTTTTTTCTACAAGAATTAATCTATCAATTTGTAATGTCATCACAATGAAATTCCAATACTTATTAATTTTTTTATGAAAAGAATAGGAAAGTCAATAAATAATTTCAATTCCAATTATATTTATTATCCGTATTGAATATCAAAATAGTATACCATATAGTAGTATTACTCAAATAATAGTAAAATTAAAAAAATTATTATAATACAAGAATGTTTTGATGTTATATGTTTATTTATTTAATATTTTTTTATAATTTGCTTATTTTAATATAATTGTAGTATTAACCTATTTATTATGACTCTCAAATTGTCTCAATAAATATATTATAAATGCCTTTTTAGTTATTATTAAATATTAAAAATTTTAATAATGGCATTACATAACTTTTGTGAAGTGGTTTAACACAGATTCCAATTCCGTTAAATAATGTATTAGAATTAATTTTTAACATAAAAAACATTAGTTTATTAATGAGAAGAATTATTGATTTTTAACGTTTCTTCTTCAAAAGTTTATATATTTTCCATTTGATATTGGAGAAGACATTAGTAATTGATTTTTTCAGTTCTTTCATTGTTAACATAATAAAAGAATGTGGTGAGTTTACAGAACATCTTTTTCTTTTTTAATATTTTTTAACGTTCGTTGAGGTTTTAAATGTGAAATATTTATTGTGATATAATACTATAGTATTTTTTGTAAACATGGATTTGAATAAAATACTAAATGAATTGATTTAATATATATATCCAATAGTATAATTTATGACTCTTTCTTTTCTAAGTTATATATAATCTTTTTATACTATTGGTATAATAATTCTTTAATCGAAAAATATAAATAAGAAAAATGTAGTTCATTTTGGCTTACATTTTCATTATCATTGTTAGTTATATTTTTATAATAATTTGTTACTAAAAAATATTATCAATCATTTTCTTTATTTAATAATTAATTCCCAATTTCATTGGGTTATGAATAAATATCTCTTTCATTAAATTAAGTATTGTTGAATTAAGATAGTTCATGTTTATTTGTATGACTAATTCTCATTCAAATGAACAAAGTTATCATGTAATTTTTAGCGTTATTTTCATTTTAGTAATGACTGTGTTTATTAGTTTAGATATTCATATTCAAATTATTTATTTCAACAATGTATTGAATAAATCGAAACATAATCAATAATTTAATTGAAAAGGAAGTTAATTTTTTTAAATATGTAAAACAGTGCTAACGAAACATAAATTCAAAAAGTAAAGCGGATGTAGATTCTTTTCTTGATATATATAACACTATACCATTGAATCACTGAACTAATAATGAAAAATATTATAGAAATAAAAATAATAAAGTTATTATAACGTATAGTTTGGATTTTTCTAATAAAAAGAACAAAATGGAAATATAACAAACTACCACGTTGTCTTACATATCACTTCCATATTTTACCTTATTCTTTCTAGCGAAAATAATAACCTAGCCATCACCAACAATACCTACGTTACATTTACTGCATTTAAGAACATTTAAGAATTGATATTAGTTAATCTTCATGAAGAAGATAAATAGTAATTACAATACCTAATCAACTAAGGAATTGAACTTACTTTTGTGGTACTAATAAAACAAAAAAAAGAATAAAGAAAATTGGTGTTTTATATTTGTAATGATTTTAAAGTCATCGAGGAAAAATGAAAAATTTGAAACTTAAACAAAAATGAAGTTCTTTCGCTAAAATCTCATAAATTGAAAATTATTTAAATAAATTCAATATGAACAAGCACTCTTATATAGATAACAGAAACTACCAGTCTAAAGTTAGAGCATTTTGTATTGCATTACTAAACCGTCATTGTGATATTAATTTAAAGAAAAGAAGTTGTCGTAAACTACTTACTATTCCGTTTCTTCAAATACAAAGATTGTATTTTAGCGATGATAATGTTATTGACTTACAAGCAGTAATTAAAAGAAGAGTATATAGCTTAGAAGAAAAAGATATTAAAAATAATATTAATACACAAAGAGCATTTCACAGAAAGAAAAAGAATGGTTATCGAGAGTCTATCAATATTATTAATGACTTACTTTCTGAATTTGGGTATTGTATTCATTCATCACAAACACCAGGGAGATACAACACAGTTAAAATGGATATTGTTAAGTCAATAACATTTAATGGAATAATTTACGATAAAATTGCGATAGAAAGAATTGGAGAAGAAATGTGTAAAGAAATAGAAAAGAAATTCGGAAACGAAAGAACTTTTGTTCTAAAACAAAACGACAACACTCTGTCTATGTTATTAAAGAATGGATAAACGTCTCTAATTTTTTTATAGAGGTAGAGGTATTTAAACCATCTACTATATAAAAAAACAAAAAACTAAAAAAAAATTACAAAATCTTTCAACAAAAATTATTTTTTGTAAAACATTTTTAATTTTTTTGTTTTATAAAAATTCAAAAAATAAAATTTATGTAAAGAAAAATATTACAACAAATAATAGACTTAAATTATTTAAAATTTTTCTTTGAAGAAATGATCTAATTAACAATATAATAATAAATGACGGTTAATCATATTATTTTATGTTCAGATAAAAGAGGTATAATTATTACATATCCTTTATTTCCTGAAGGTGGGTATAATTATAATTCTATTCCTCATATCTGTTTTGGTGATTGTCCAGGAAAATATAATTATTTTACTGTACCTTGTTTTTCAATTAACCCACCACTCTATGGAATTGCATGGTTTAATAAATATAACTACTCTCAATACCTTCCAGGACCAGAAAATCCAAGGGAAGATGAACAAATAGCATTATGCATGATCACTTCATCTCCTTATCTTCATTTATTTCTTCAACGATTCAAACCATTAGCTGATTTATATTTCATTCAAAATTTATTTATTAATAACTCATTAATTCAAGCCATTTTTAAAACATTAAATTGTTCAATGAATGATCCTATTTATACACTACCAGATCCTTGTTCATTGATTAATACTTGTGGTAAAGATATCTTATTATTAATTAAAATGTTGTTATTAAAATGTAAAATTTGTGTAAATAACAAAGTGAGTTCAGATATCAACTCTGAATGGATTCTTGCCTTATTATCATTCATTCCAGGTGCTTTATTTCCTGCAACAGATAAACTTAAATCAATTGGGTTTGTTACACAAACAAAACAATCAATATTACATTGTCCTCTTTCAGAACTTGAGTTAATAGAAAGTGTTGAAGTTTTTGGTGGGACACATCCAATTTTCAGAGAAATGGCTGAAATAGATTGTGTTGTTACAGAAAAAGGAGTGACCGTAAATGGTAAATATAAAAAACTGCTTGGACTAACCAAAGCAGATAAAACCTTTACCCAACAATTACTTAATGCATCTCATTCTATGAACTGTTTGTAAAAAAGTGTTTTTCTTTTTTAAAAAAAGTAGTAATACTAATTAGTTTAGATGATTTATCCATTGATTTAATCTTACAATATATTGTTGGGTTAATATCTGTTGCTGTTAAATCAAGAGGGAGATGGATTGAATCACCAGACGTTTTGAATTATGGTTCTTCTTTTGTAGAAGAATTTAAGAAAACAGAATTCTTTAAATCATTGCCATCAAAAATTGAAATAAATGCTATCCATCCAGCAAAAATATTAAATACATTTATTGACTTTAACCCATATAAAAAATCAACAACAGTTAAGGTGAATACTATTAGTGGAACTGCATTTCCATTGTATAAAAAATATTTACATTCAAATCAATCATAAGTCATTTAAGCATCATTCATTTCATCTTCTCTTTTTTCTTTTTTTTTCTTTTTAAAATCTTAAAATGTTACTTTATGTTTTTATACAAACCAAAAGTAATTTCTACTACTTCTTCAAATGAAAAAGAAGAAATCATAAATTCAGTTTCTGAAGAAATTTATCAAAGACTTTATGGAAGACGTCTTTCTTCTTGCTCTTTTAGAAATAAAAGTATTGAAAACAGTTTATATACACTTCCTCAAAATGAAGAGCTTGAGTTAAAATATTTATTAAAAAAAACAGACTATTTTGAACGTAAGTTCAAAATCAAAATTCAAAATGAGACGCTATTTTATTTATATAATGATTCATGGTATAAAACATTCTTTCAAATAAAACGTGATGAAATTATCAAACAATGGGAAGATGTTAAAGAAGGAGAAGTAATCATTACTTCTCAAAGATTTGTTTTTGTTTCAAATTCATGTGAAACAAAACAAAATGTTTATGATATTCCACTTGGAGTTTTATTTTCACTATCAAGTTCAAGTGGGTATATTACAATTGAATTAAATCCATTCTATTCTGCATTGTATAATGAAACCATTTATTTCCAAGCTAGTAAGTCAGTGTGTGATATTATTTCAACAGAAATTAATGATATTCGTTTTGGTATTCGTTTTGGACAAGAATCAGCAACAGCTTTCATCCAAAACACAGAAAGTTTTGTTTATTTATTTAATTTTTATAAAACAAATATTAATCATATAGGATATGATCAAGAGTTATATTATAATCCAAACTCTAAATATTTCAAAGTATATCAAAATGATAATTATGAATTATGTGATACTTATCCAAAAAATTTAATTGTCCCAGTTAAAATTACAGATGATATTATTAAGAAATGTGCTGAGTTTAGATCCAAAAAAAGAGTTTGTTTTAAAATAATTTTTAATTATTAATTGATTCAATAATAAATAATTACTTTAGATACCAATTTGTACTTACTTTAATCAAGTTACTCATGGAGCTATATATCGATGTTCTCAACCACTAGTAGCTAATTCTTCCTATTTTATTGGAGTACTAAAAGACAGTGTTTCAAAAGAAGATCAAGAATTTTTATCAGAAATTAGAATTCTTGGTAAAAATGATGATGCTATTTTATATATTTTTGATTGTAGACCAGTAACAAATGCATATGCAAATAGAGTAAACGGTGGAGGATATGAAAATACAAATGCTTATAAAAAGACTCAACTTAAGTTTTTAAATATTCCAAATATTCATACTGTTGTTGATTGTTTTACTAAAATGAGAAATGCTCTCTTTAGTCGTGATACCCTTACACCTCTTTCATATTATCGAGATACATCAGAATGGTTAGACCTTTTGTTTGGATTAGTAAGTGCTGTAATTGATGTTGTTTCTCTTATCCAAAAAGGAGAAACAATCTTAGTTCATTGTAGTGATGGATGGGATCGAACAGCTCAAATATCATCTTTATGTAGATTAATACTTAGCAAAGAATATAGAACAACAAAAGGGTTTTGTGATTTAATATATCAAGAATGGATATCTTCTGGTCACCAATTCCAAAAAAGGCTTCATAATAAAACAAATGAAAATTCTCCTATTTTTCTTCAATTCATTGAAGTTACTGCTCTTTTTTTAAGACACTCACCACAGGCATTTCAATTTAAAGAAGACTTTTTGGTAAAAATAGCAGAAGAAGCAACATGTCCAACAACAATAACATTTGTTAGAAATTGTGAAAAGGAAAGAAGTGCTTTAAGTTGTGACAATTATTTAGAATTCTTTACTCAAGAATTAAAACATTATCCAACATCTTTTGATTATAATAAATTAGAACCAATTGATTTAAAATTTAATGTATACGAGTATGTTGTATGGGATAAATATTATTTACGTGAAACAAAAGTTATTATTCATTAATTGAATTTGTTTAACAAACTTAAAAACTAAAAAAAAAGCATACTAATAATTAAAGTTGATTGTAATATCCTTTAGCCCGATGACAGAAAACTGATATTAATAATAAAATTGTAAGAATTACTGCAGTGATTGTAATAAAAATATAAACCCCTGATGAAAGGAAAAAGAATATTCCAAGTGGTTTTATAATTCTATCATAACAAGTTGTATTACATTCATCTGTTGTATAATTTTCATTTAAATAACAACCACATACTTTAGTAACTTTGTTATATCCACAACAAGAATACTGTCATATTATTAGTCTTAATTTTATTAAAATTAATAAATAAAACTAAACAAACATATTGTTCAAATGCATATGACATAATAATGTTTTGAACTTTATTCCATAATTCTTCAAATGAACTCTTATACATATTTTTATATCCAACACCTCCAAAACAAATTACTCCACCAACACACAATACGCCAACTATAACAACTAAAATTGCAATTATCATTTTTATAACACGGTTATTAAAACATGAAATACATGTTACAATTATAAAAACAATAAGAATAACACCAGAAAATGCTATCGAAACATATGAAGTAATTATATCAATTTGAGCATCTTTTATATCAAAGTCATTCATTTTAGATGTTGATATAACTTGCAATAAACCAAATATAATAGCAAGAATAGAAAGAATCTAATTTATGAGAGTGTTCAGAATATTTGATAAAATAACAAACAATTCCAACACCAGAAACACAAAATGTTAGACAAGAACTACACCCCATTTAAATAAGAAGAATTTGATTAATTTAGTGTTTTAAGTTTTATTATTATTTTTCAAAATAATTAAATAAATTAATAATAATAAAAATAGTAAAATGTTAATTTACAAGAAAAACTGAAAACTGATAAGATTTGATTCTTTAAGTGAGACATGGAAGGATGTAAAAAAGATCAAAGGAAATTACCATCAAAATTACTCATAACTACATTAAATTCTATCCAAAGTGTTCTCCCAAATTCAACATCAATTTATGTTGTTTCTGTTGATTCAAAATCAGTCAGTTATATTGGATCCTTTTTACAACCTAAAAAAAAGAGAGAAAAGAAGAGAAATTCATCATCACGTGAAAGTGTTTCTTTTGAAGAAGTATTAGACTCTTTATCTCAATTAATTGTTGCAACTGTTAATGTTGGAAAAACATATGAAGAAAGTGATACATTAAAAACAATGCATCTTCAAGGAAGAGATTCAATGATTTCAATTATTTTTAATAAAAAACAAAGTATTGTTTGTTACTATTCATTTAATAAATGATATACTATTATTTATATTATAGTGTGTTGTAATTGATTCAAACATTAATGAGATGTGTTATGTATTTGATGATCAAATTCAAATTCAATGTCAACCAATATTTGATGCATTAGAATAATATAATTAATTTCATTAATATACAAACAAAATAAACATCAATTTAAAAAAAAGAATTTAAGTAGTTTAATTTTAATGTTTTAAAGAATTATTTCTTTAAGAAAATACCAAAAAGAACGAGGAATATGAGAAGTAATAAAATGTTTTGAGTAGCCATCATTTTTTCTTTAAAAGTAAGTTCAACAACACAATCACTAACTTTACTAACAATACCTCTATTGATATCTTTAATTCTTTGTTCATATTCAAATTTATCAACATATGTTTGAATAAGATGTCTACATTCTTTTTCATATTTTAACATTAAGTCTTTTTCTTTTTCATCACCTTTCTTTTTCAAAAGAATATTAGCTTGAACAGTTAAAATAGATTCGTTATGTTTAGATAAATTTAAAAGAAGTCTAGTTTCAGTTGAATAATAGTCTTGAGAATCAAGATAATTTCTAATAGATCCAATAATTAATGCTGATTTTTTTAATTGATAAAATTGTTGAATTTGAGCTCTTGTTGTTACTTTTCCATTAGGAGTATCAACTGGTTCAATTATATTAATATTTCTAGTAAACCCATTTTGAATATTTTTCCAATCAGTCATTTCTATATTTGTTTGTCCTAATTCTTCTCTTAATTTAATTTGTTGTGCGTGTGTTTTATTTTCTACAAAAGTATTGAAAAATTGAAGAGGAGTTATAGGAATAGTTGTTTCAATAATAGTTTTCATCTTTGGTTGTTTGAAGAATTTAGGTTCTGGTACTTCATCATCAATAAATTCAATTTCACCACTTGAAGCTGGTTTACCTGAAATTTTTTCTATATACTTCTTAATCATTACATCAATATCTTTCTTTGCATTATTAACACCTTGGCTTTCAATAGTTCCTTTTAACATAACTTTTTTTAAGAAAACTACTGCAAAGTCTTCTACAAAATGACATTGTTTTTCTCCTTTTGGTGAAATTGTAGTTTTAAATTCAAGTTTAAATGAATCTCCATAAGGAACATCAGGTGTTTGATTAGTAGAACATATAATTAAATTATCTCCTTCAAAATAATATATTTCATTAACAATGGCATGTGCAGAAGATGGTCCAATAGGTATTCCTTTTAATGGAACAATAAAGTCTTGACTTCTAACAAATCCAAATTGTTCACTTACTTCCCAATCAGAAATATTAATATTTGTTAACTCTTTTTCTGCAAGTATTTCTTTAAACTTTTCTTTAGCTTCATTTCTAACAAATTTTTCATAAAATTCTTTAACAGAACAATCTAAATCAGTTTCTCCTCCTGGTTGGAATTCAGTAGCAGTTAAAAATCCTTCATACGAAACTTTTTTTGGTATAGATGGTGGTAAACTTTGTGGTGTAAGAGTATTAACATTTGAATTAATAAATGGAGTAGGAGATGAAGAAACACTACTTTGTGCAATTTCTGAAGGTGTTCCATTAATAATTGAATCATTAGAAATATCTGATGAATCTTCTGATTTTTCTGTTTCAGACTCTGAAGTCATTAACACTCTATTTGTTAAAGTACAATAACTATTCCAGTGTTGAGTAACAATTTGAATAAATTTTTCTGAATTTTCTATTCCACTAATTTTAATGTTTGAATTATTTGATTTAACAAATAAAATTCTAAGTGATTTACCTTTTGCTTTAATGCCTGAAATATCTTCAAATTTCCAAACATCAGCATTAAATTTTAGAACTTGAGGCCAAAAACAAATATATCTATGAAATACATATAATTTCCCTAATTTTGATATTGACTGTTTACAACTACATTTAAATGCACAAATTAAACTTTCATTATAAGGAAGTCCAAATCTATGAATATATTCTGTCATTTTAACTTTTTCAATTAAAATAGATGGAGTGAATAGAGGATCAAGTGATTGCATATCTGTATTATTATTTTTTAAGTTTCATTCATTTTGATTTCTTTTATTTTTATTTTATTTTCTTTACTTTTACTACGTTATCTTTTTCTTATTTCCCCTAATTTTTACATTAAATTATCTATTAAAAAAAAAAATAATTGGATTTCGGTTAATTTCAATTGATTTTGAATTGAACCAAAAGTTTTTATTTCATTTTATTGTTTAAACACTCTTTTACATTTTTCTCTATTATATTAAAGAAAACAATTATTAAATTAAAAGCTTTTCTTTATTAACTATAATCAATTTAACAATTTTCTGAAAATAAAGGTAAATAACAAATGTTTAAAACAAATTCATTTGGTTGTTATAATTTAAATCCTTTTGGTACTTTTTCATAACAACAGTTGCAGTAAATTTTATTTACATACAAATCTTATTTTTCATTCCATTCAAAATTGATTTGAATCAGAAAAATTTCATTAATAATATTTACATCTCAATACATAAAACCTCATCGCCTCGTTTAAACTTAGAGAGACAAGTTATATTTCTAACAAACAACAAATAATTCATTAATAACTTTATGAGTAATGGTTATTCTATTTATTGATGATCTTTTTCTTAAAAATATTAACTTTTCAATAAGAACCATCAAAACACTATTTGATAAATGTTCTGTTCCAATTATTTTTATTGGTGGGTATTTTAAAGAAATAAGAATATTAGTGAACTAAGTTATTACTATTAAAGTCGCATAAACAAATTATAACACCTCAATGCGACAGGAAGATTGTTTATCGTATTTTTTTTTTATTCTTCTATGAAAAAATATCAACAAAAGGAACAAATTGAGTGATTGAACTTTTTGTATTAGAATTTCAATTTTAGACTGAACAAAAATAAAACCCTGCCACGTAATACTCTAATTGTAACTCGCTCAATTCTTCTAATTTGATGAAATTTACCATTTTTGAAATAGAAAAAAGGTATATTTAGCGAATCTTTTTTCAAAAAATGCTTTACAAACTTATTCTTAACCTAGCCCCGTTTTTTGGATCAGATATTTAAACCTCTCTTAAAACTAAATTGTTCATTCAAATCAAATAAGTAACATGTCAA